ATAAAGTCGAATCCTGGCACCCACCCGTTGTTCAAACCTCCTCGCTACCTTTTACTTGTAGCCGTAGATTAAGCTGTCGCGCTTTTTGGCTGCTTCCCGAATTCAGCTGCTCGTCGGGCTTTATGGCTCCTTCCCGGATTCAGGAATAAGAAAATATCAAAGAATTTGAGTTTTGAATTTATCCATTTTTTTTTACTTTGTATTTTTCAGAAGCAGGTACCAGACATTATTGAGCGAGAGACATTTTCACTTCGAAGCAATGTTTCTTCGGATTCCGTCAATGCAGAGGTTTCTAACTGATTTGACTTTTACTTAGCATTGTTATCGAGAATATCTTTTAAAACATGGCATAAATTGCATCCTTTTTGATCTTGAATTTCATCATTCGCGTTTTTAGAATCTGCCTTTTGCGCTTTTTGGGATACTGGTAATGAGCGGAATTGAAAAGACTTACCCTTGTTTTGGACCGCAGCCAAATTCAGCTCAAGGGGAAAAGATCTAAGAGGATTTCGAGCGATTTATTTTTTTTTGAAAACGTCCGGATTAGGTTGAATTTTTCATTGTGATGTACAACTTGCAGCCAGATCCAGCCTTAGATGGAGTAATCGACTCGTTGGTCGATGCTTCGGAATTGGTTGATAATGCAAAGCTAGCAGAAGCAACAGCGGCTGCAGCAGCAGTTGCAGCAACAGCAGCAGCAGCAGTAGCTGACCTGAGCAACAGTGGTCAAGATTTGTCAACACCACTGGTTGATAACGGTGTCGCAATGGAGCAAACAATAAAGAATGCATTCAGTGAAGCAGCAACTGGCATCATTCACGATATCAACGATAATGCCAATCCTCTTGCGGTTAGAATTTTTATTTGTTCTATGCTTTGTAACAGCAGTACAAAACGCATATTGTCACAGGATTCCCTATGTGTATATGTGTGCGTATGTGTATGTGTGTGTGTGTGTGCGTGCGAGCGAGCGAGTGTGTGTGCGAGCGAGTGTGTATGTGTGTGCGAGCGAGTGTGTATGTGTGTGTGTGTGTGTGTGTGTGTGTGTGTGTGTGTACGCAACAATTTGTTTTCATTGCATTCGTCTCAAAGAGTAGTAGTTGCTTCACTTTCTGCTGCTAATTTCTTCTACAATTCGAGCAGATTATCCGCAGATTAAAGCCAGTACGCTGAAAAATAATTTTTTGGCTTGTTGATTTGTTCGTGTAATTGACATTTTCGATTTTGCCGGAAAGACAGAACTTCTTTAACCTTACTTCATTAGGCGATTATTAGGAGAGGTAGTTTTGCTGCACGAAACGTTCATTCGATCCATGGGCAGTTTTACAACAAGTGTGTAGTGTAAGGAGAAAGAAAAGCATTGTTTTTTTTTCTTTCAGAAGCGAACTTTTTATTAATTTCATAATTTCAGAATCAAAATGCTTATGAGGAAGCACATGCTAAGGAGCTCTACCTACCCCCAATGACCAGTACCGCTCGATCTCGTGCAAAACCAGCCGTCAATGGT